GCCCCTGGATTACTCACAAGGTGACTCAGCCCCAGTGGCTTCCAGGACAGGACAGAGCAGGCCTGAACTAGCGCCTGAAGGACATCTTGCTTCCATCACAGCGACCTTGGTTTAGCTAGGATGACCAGTAGGACCTCCCAGGAGCCTCTTCCCTGAAAGGTGAGAGTCATTGGCCTATGGCTTCCCAGCCTTAGAAGTTCCTCTGATGCTAACTCCATAGGCCCCTGTGTGGAGGGCTGTACCTGCTGAGTGGATGGCTGCCCCCTGAAGGGTTGGGGTCATGTGTTGTTAGAGAGAAAGAGAGAATAAATACTGCCATCCTCTACTTGGCTCCCCAAATGCTCACAGTGGCCAAGGGTTCAAAGTCAAGAGTCAGTAAGTCCATTCAGGTTTCCCACTTGGGTGGCAGGGTACCTCGCTGCTTAGGCCATCACCTGCTACCTCCCAGGAACTGGAGTAGCAGGAAGCTGGTGTCTAGTATGGGGCCACACCCTGCCCAGGTCAGGTAACAAATCGGGAAGGCCAGTGTGAGGCTGGAGGCCACCTAGCTGAGCCAGTAGTCTCAGGTGGCTGTCAGAAAGGGTAGCATGCCCGTCCTAAGGCTCCAGAGAAGGGATCCATTGGGCTGAGGTGGGTGGATGTCCTGGCTTGTCCCTGTACTTTTCATAAATACCCATCCACTCACTTTCCCTGCCTCTCCTCTGCCAGTCTCCTGGTATCTAAAATAGTGCTTGGGCCCCCAAGTTCCTGCTCTGGGTCAGTGTTCATTGAACACATGACCTGACATGTGACCCCAAGTTACTGTCTCTGATGTTAACTAAAGCCAACATTAATTCTTCCTTTTCAGCAGAATAGAGAACAGAAGCCCTGATCCTGCCCTGATCCTGCCCTGGTCCTTCCCTGGTCCTGCCCTGGTCCTGTTCTGGTCCTGCCTGGCCCTGCCGTGTTCCTGCCGTGGTCCTGTCCTGGTCCTGCCCTGGCCCTACCCTGGTCCTGTCCTGGTCCTGCCCTGGTCCTGCCCTGGCCCTACCCTGGTCCTGCCCTGGTCCTGCCCTGGTCCTGCCTTGGTCCTGCCCTGCCCTGCCCTGCCTTATGCTAGCCCTGCTTCTGAGGCCAGCCAGCACTGCTTCTGTTGGGAGGAGGCAAGGATCCTTCTGGGCAACTTATGCTCTGAAGGCCTTGGCTGGGCTAACTTCTTTGAAACCTCTTCCTGATGCATCTGTGCAGTGACTGAGGGAAAAATGACAATAGCCCATCAATGTGGAGTCAATAAAGCAAACTGCAGGTGGAGCTGAGGCTGTGTGTGGGGTGGGAAAAGGTTGACCTGGAAGATGAGGAGAGAGGAGGTAAGTTTTGAGGTGTAGTGGGGAGGAGAGGAGCCCTGGGGGCAGGTAGGTGATGCCAGTGTAGGGCTTCTCCCTGGGCCTCCCAGTGGGGCTGCTGCCTGGCTCTGATTTGCTGTGAACGCCTTTGAAGTGCACGAGACTCAAAAGCATGCCTGGGAAGAGTGCAGTTTTGCTGTCCTGATCTCAGAGCCTGAGTTGCTCGCTCAAGCCTGCTGTGCACCTGCTCACCTGCTGTATGCCAAGTCCACATGTCCGGGATTCAGCCCTGAACAAAGTAAATGTCACCCCCCTCTCTCCCTGGTCAAGGTCTTCAGTCAGGGAGACACGGCAGACAGCAGCACCTCGGGTTTAGGGTCAGTGGTGTGGGGAAGGGTCCTGCAGCATGAGCTCCCCAGTGATGGATAGGGGCAGGTGTCCCTAAGGAGGTCACCCCAGGAGAGAGCTGAGTGAAGCGAGGGAGGAAGCCAGGAATGGGCATCGAAGAAGAGTAGGCCGAGAGAAAACCATCACACCTGGAGGCAGGGTGACTTTGGTGAGTTCAGGAAGGGGTGGGCATCTAGCACAGCAGTGAAGCCCCCTTGGCACTCCTGCATTCTGTATTGGAGTGTGTGGTTCGAGTCCTCGCTACTCTACTTCCAATCCAGCTTCCCGCTGATGTCCATCTTGGGAGGCAGCAGGTGACCATCAAGTACTTGGGTTCGTGCCACCACCTGTGCTGGGACTCCTGGCTGCTGGTGTCGGACTTGCCTAACCTCACTGTTGAGATCTTTAGGGGGAGTGACGGGAGGGTGGGAGATGTAACTCTGGCTCTCTACTTTTTAGCTAAAATAAAAATAAATACATTTTAGAAAGTGAGAATGTCTGAATGGCTGAGGGGGCAGGTGGGTAAAGAGGATTGGCAGAAGAAGGTATTGGAGATGCAGGCGAAAGCCTCGCCCTGTAGTTCCATGGGCCTTGGCAGAGCTTGCATTTTATTCCTGGTGTGAAAGGAAGTTGTTGGCTTTTCGGGGGGGGGGGGAGTTCCTGATGTGCACTTTTTAAAGGATCACCCTTGGGACCCGGAGGAGGACCTATGGAGCCTGGACAGGTGGGAGCAGTGTTGGGAGGGCGTCTGGTCAGCGGCCCTGTGTACTGTGAATGGAGAACCCACAGAGGAGACTGCTGGCTTGAATGTGAGCCCAGAGAGGAGAGCCTTGTGGTCCAGGTCTTTGTCAAACGAGTGGACGGAGTGGTGCCAGCCCAGGGGAAGGGAAGGGGACTCGGGGAACAAATCTGCATCTGGAGGGTTTTTAAAAATGTGTTTATTTATTCAGCTATTTTTAAAAAGATGTATTTATTTGGATTGGAAAAGTAGATAAGATTTATGGAGAGAGAGAAAGATCTGTCCACTGGTTCATTCCCCAAATAGCTGCAATGGCCTGAGCCAGCAGCCAGGAGCTTCTTCTGGGTCTCTAACTTGAGAGCAGAAGCCTAAGGAATAGAGCCATCCACCACTGCTTTCACTGACCACAACAGGAAGCTGGATGGGAAGTGGAGCAGCTGGTACACGAACCGGTGCCCATATGAGGTGCCAGTGCTTGCAGGCAGAGGGTTAGCCTGTTGAGCCACTACGCTAGCTGCATCAGGAGAGGCATTGTTAGCAGGTGCAGAATTGGAACTTGAACCCAGGGACTCAGGTATGGAACACAGAAGTCCTGACCAGCAGCATAACTGCTGCACAAACTCCTGTCCCTGTGAGGGTGTGTTAAGATTGAAATATTGAGAGGGAGGGAGGGGAAATGGCATGGTGGCATAGTAGGCTAATCTTCCACCTGAGACACCAGCACCCCATATGGGCACTGATTCTAGTTCTGGCTGCTCTGCTTCCCAACCAGCTCCCTGCTTGTAGCCTGGGAAAGCAGTGGAGGACGGCCCAAGTTCAAGGCCCCTGCACCTGCATGGGAGACCCAAAGAAGCTCCTAACTCCTGGCTTCGGACCAACCCACCTCTGGCCATTCGAGGAGTGAACTAATGGATAGACGATCTTTTTTTTTTTTTCTGTAACTCTCTGAATTAACAGAAATAAATCTGGAAATAAGTTTTTGAAAGATTGGCCGTCCTCTCAGTTGAACCAGGCAGCAGATAGTGCGGTCTGTTTGTCGGAGACCTGGAGGCCAGGCACAGGTGGAGCCACACGGGTCACGTGATCATGTGCAGCGCTGAGGGTGGCCGGGAATGAGCCAGGCGATTCCCAGTGTAGGGTGTGAAAGAGGAGGTGTGGCAGAGGGAGGGAGGCAGTCCTGAGCATGCGTGCTGGTGTTCCTGACACTAGGTGTGTCAGCAGGAGGGCAGGACTTGGGTGACATCACCTCACATGAGGTCAGACTAGCTGAGCAAGAATCCTGAATTCATCTCTGGGCTGCAGGAAGTGAGTCCTTGGGGACCTCATGTGGCTGAGGACGCTGGCACCTGTCACCTGTGCCAGACACCTGGGCAGAGGGAGGAGGTGCTCTGGCCCTGGGGGAGGATCAGAGTCCTTATCAGCCAGTTGGTTCCATGGGAGGAAAAGCGGGAAATGTGGGTGGTGTGGCAGGAAGACCCGAGGATGGGCTCACCCTGGGGCGGGAGCGCAGGAACCCATGGGACTCTGGCTGCCTGGCTCTGAGACAGTGCCTCACAGTCGGGGCACTCCACAGTGTCTGCTGGGGCCGAGAGCCATGTCTTCTGACCACCGCGGGGCCCACCCGTGGGACACCGTGGGCCTCTCAAGTCCTGTACATAGTCACAGGCGTTGCATATTTCTGACTGTTGAAGGAAGATTGCGACCCTGAGAGTTTGTTCCTTCCTGCTTGAACCACCTGGGCTGGAGCTGATTAAATAGGCTGGAGCGTAAGAATGTGCCCACAGCTCATGCTGAAATGCTGATGGATGGCAGGAGATCCAGGACCCCAGGTGCTTGGATATGGGGTGTAAGTGTTCAGGGAATGCTTAACTGTTATCTGCTGCCACCGCAACACCACACAGCTCCCTCCTATGACCCACTGCCATCCTGGGTGTAGGAAGCTGTGTGATGTGTTGGGGTGACACCTGTGTATCGTGCGTGGCTGCTGAGCCACCGTGAGTGGGTTCCTGTGGCCAGAAGGTCAGGGCACAGGCAGCTCCTCTTCCAGGTGCGCTCACTGAGAGCCTAGGCTGATGACCCAGCATTCCTTAAGTGCACCTGTGTCCTGGGCAAAGGCCACATGCCGCCAGGAGGTGACTCAGTTCTGGCCAGCAAATGGCAGATACAGTATGGCCTCTGCTCCTGCCACATCTCTGTCCCCCCAGCACCCCTGTGCCCAGCCCTGTGTGGCACACTCTTCACGCTGCAGGCCTTTGAAGCAGTGCTCACAAGGGCGGCGTCTTCGTATGCACTCCACAGGGCACTGACATGAGCCGGGCATGGCCTCGTGGGGCTCCAGCTCAGCCGTCTCTCCAGGACATGGTCTGCTGTGAGATCATCACCTTTGCTCACTGGGAACTGGGTCGCTGGTTGAGTGGGGTCACCCAGACACCCAGGGTTGAGGAGCCACACCTAGGCCTGGCATGTCCCTCACCAGCTGCGTGGGCGCAACGGTAGGAGCACATGTGTGGAGCCCGCTTCTGACCTACTCCCGTCTTTCTCTCCCTGCTTAGCTGGCTGGAGTCGTCTTCCTCGGAGTTGGGCTGTGGGCATGGAGCGAAAAGGTAAGCGTCCTGTCCCACCCTTGCTCACCCTGCAGTAAGCAACTGGCCCCCAGCACACTCAGCATTGTTACCTGTACCCCTGACTGCCCCCCAGGACAAGCGATGCTTATGCAGTGTGAAGGGGGTGACCATCAGTCATCCCAGAACCAGCGCTGAGGCTGGCTGTGCTGGGCCGGCTGCAGACACCCCAGCCTGGAACCCCACTGAGTGTGAGCAGTGTGGAGAGCTGGCCGCCCTGGGCCAACCCTGCTGTGCCTTGTTGAGCAAGCCTCTGGACTTGAGGCTGCTGCAGGCCCAGAAGGAACCCTTGCAGCATGGAGCAGGACTGGGGTTAAGGCTGGGATACCTCCTGGGAGAGGGGAGGGGACAGGCCTTTACACAACCCTGGAGCAGGAGGAGACCACTCTGCCCTGGACTGTGGGCTGGAAAGGGCCTCCATGGCTGCAAGGCCAGGGCTGCAGGAGAGGACAAGGAAGGGGGCAGCTGCAGGAGGAGCAGCCAAGCGGGAGCCCCTGGGAAGGAAAGCCTCTTTTGGAACCTCGGGCCAGGACCCACAGTTACCGCAGTGGAGCCTGCCTATGCTTCCGGCAGGAGGAGGCAAGAGCACTTAAGTCTGCAGGCCTTCTTACTGTTGTTGAGGTCTGCCTTCCAGCCTGCACACCTTCAGTGACGTGTAAGCTCATAAATGGAGAGCTGGAGTGTAAAGATCGCTTTGCCCCAGTGACCTGGAAACCAGTGGAAGCTGTGACTCGCAGCGCCACCGTGTGGGCATCTCTATGACTGCAGCAGCCTGACAAGCAGAGCCCGGAGCGTAGCTACCCTGGCCACCTGGCCTGAGCTGGACTCCTGGTCCAGCTGTGCTTTTGTGCTTCCTCCTCTGACTGCTGCCCTGGTCACACGTATTGCCTGTATTTAAATTTAAGTGGTTTAAATGAAGCATGGGTCGAAATTCAGTGTCGGGTCCCTACCGCATTCCAGGTACTTGACAACACATGTGGGTGGCTGGTGGCTGCCAGTTTGGACGGTGCAGAGTAGGCCACCTCCCTCATCAGAGTTCCAAGGACAGCAGTGTCCTTGTCTTTGGGCATCCTTTCCACAAGAATGTTCAGACTGGGGCTATTTTCACCTCAGTGGTGTGGTGTGAAGTTGGAAATAACCAGGTCAGCCACCCACCCTGTGGCCCCCAGGCTTGAGGTAGGTTGGCATGGGCATTCTGCAGGCCTCAGAAGGTTCCTGGGGTCTGCCTAGTAGAGCACCAGGGGTTTGATGGGTGGGTCCCTGGGACCCCCTCTGGCCTGGCTTACAGAGAGGAAAGAAACCATGAGTACGTGGCTGCACCCCAGGGCACCCTTGATTTGTGTGTCTCCTCCCCCTCTCACAGGGAGTGCTGTCCGACCTCACCAAGGTGACGCGGCTGCATGGAATCGACCCCGTGGTGCTGGTGCTGATGGTGGGCGTGGTGATGTTCACGCTGGGCTTCGCCGGCTGCGTGGGGGCCCTGCGGGAGAACATCTGCCTGCTCAAGTTTGTGAGTGACTTGGGGTGGGCTCCACTGGACGGGACTGGGGGAGCCCCGTGGAGGAAAGACCCCCTCCCCCCCCCCGACACACACACTTTGAGCTGCTCCTCGCTGCCGGGGAGAAGCCCCTCTGGGTTTCTGTGGTGTTGCAGAGCGGCTGCACTCCCCTCCTAGCCCCTTTACCTTCACCCGGTAGCTCTTCGGGAGTTGTTTGCTCCTTACCTTTGCCCTTCCTGGCTGAGATCAAGCAGTGCTGGCGCTGTAGCATTAAGAAATCATCTCCCCGCTCCGGGGCCTGATCACCTGTGGGATTTGGACATGGAATCCTTAACTTCCTAGCACAACTGCCATGTTGCTCCAGGATCCGTTATATATTTAGATACAAATCCATTTTTAAATGCATCCCGGTAAAAATTTAAATAGCACCTGATGGAGAAAGCAGATTCTCATTTTTTGCAATGTATTATTTATTGGATGTGTTAGATCCTGCTTTCTCTTTCCGTGGACTTAATTAGAACATCAAGGCACCCATGCGCACACACACTCAATATTTTCTTTCCTTCCAGACTTCTCTTTGTCTTCAGATATGTTTGGCATCTTGTTTCTGTGTGGACCGAGATTGCCTTGTTTGTGTGTCTGCGTGTGATTTCCCTACCCCCCCTTCTGCTTGGTGGGGTTTTGGTCAAACTGGTCTTATATGGCCATTGATAAAGGCTTTGAGGCCTGGGCCAGCCTTGGGGTCAGTGGGGGCTGTGGCCCTGTGCCCACTGCAGACCCTTGCCAATGCTGCCACTGTTTGTGGTTGGGGCAGCCATGGTGTTGCAGAGGTCTGCATGCAGCTGACTGTCCCGTGTCCCCACGTGGAAAGGGCATTCACTGGTCGCTGTGACTCCTCCTGACCCGGGAGGAGCTCCCCAGGGAACTTGAGTGCCCTGCGTCAGCAGCGTGGCCGCAGACAAAGCCCGTAGTGGAGTGAGGGCAGGGTGCGTGCGGGGAGCTGTGAGATGATATTAAGCTGCCGGCCCTGTCCTCTGGGAGCTGATAGCCTTGACAAAGTCCACTTCCTGTCCAGGGAGAAGGGCTGCTGTGTGGGAAATGACTGGCGCGTTGACCTGGGCCCGTCTTGGACCTTTTCACGTGCTGTTACCAGTCGTGCGGGGAGTGCTGAGGGAAGGGGTGAGCAGCCCTGTGGTGCCTGTGATGGAATGCCGTCTCTTGGTGCAGGCCGTGGGGGGTTCCCAGAGCTTGCCCTGGGTCCCTGGGGTGCAGGGTCTGTGCCTTCTGCTGCAGGCAGCAGCTCAGGGTGTGATGGGCATGCGTGTGGCCAGGTGGTGAAGTGGTGGGTGATTGTGCTGTTTGCACCCCTGCAGTTCTGCGGTGCCATCGTGCTCATCTTCTTCCTGGAGCTGGCCGTGGCCGTGCTGGCCTTCCTGTTCCAGGACTGGGTGAGGGACCGCTTCCGGGAGTTCTTCGAGAGCAACATCAGGTCCTACCGGGACGACATCGACCTGCAGAACCTCATTGACTCCCTCCAGAAAGCCGTAAGCACCGTGGCCGGCGGGCGTCCCTTCTTGTGTTCTGTCTGTGCTGCCTGGCTGAGGCAGGCGTGGGGCTCAGGCCTCAGCAGGCAGGCTGGTGAGCTCACCGCTCTGCCTCTGCTTCGCTCAGCTCAGCTTCTCGTGTTGGGCTACCTGGTGGTCCCTTGGCCATCGTGGCCACCCTCCCACCCCTTGTGGGCCCCAGGTCAGCAGCTCTGCTCTTTGGCCGCAGCGCAGAGCTGTGGTGCTGAGAGTCGCTTCCGTGCGGGGTGTGTGACTCACACTGCCAGAGGCTATTGCAGTCCTGCCTCTTTGGGACCTTTTCCCCTTCCTGTCTGAGAAGGGCAGAGCTGCCTGGAGGAAGCAGACTCAGTGAGTGGGCAGGGTCAGCCCCCTGGGATCTGGCCCTGGGGGTGCCAGACACTGCCAGGCTCTGGCCTTCCTGGCCTCTTCCTGTGCGGCTGCACCTAGGGCTTGGAGCTGAGCCCCTGTGAGGAGCCTGTGTCCTGGCCAGCTCCCACTGTGCAAGGACCCTGTTTGATCCATGCTTGGCCGGAACACCCAACTCCTTGAGAACTTCTACCTGGAACTCTTGGGTTCTGAGAAGCAAATGTGTTAGAAAGCCCTGAAAAGATGTATTTGTTTGAAAGGCAGAGTACCTGATGTGGTGGGGAGGATATCTTTCATCTGCTGGTTCATTTCCCACATGGCCACAACAGCCAGGGCTGGACCAGACTAAAGCCAGAAATCAAAAGTTTCCAGGTATCCCTGTGGGTGCAGGGGTCTAAGGTCTTGGGCTATCCTCCATTGCTATCCCAGGCCATAAGCAGGGAGCTGGATTGGAAGTAGAACAGCCAGGATTTGAACTGGTACCCACCTAAGACAGTGGTGGCTTAGCATGTTGTAACATGCTTCTGGCTTTGTCCTAGCCTTCCCTGACACCTCTCCGTGTCTCTTCCTGTTCAGTGTCACAGTTGTCTCCTCTTTGTCATTGCTTGCTGGTCTCAGCACGCTTCCTCCCTGAATTGCCTTAAAGATATCATTTTCTCCATTGCCTTTCCAAAATGAACATGCGCACAGAGCTCCCTTGAGCTGTAACGTTAGGTCATTGTGGAAGCAACTGGAGCAGGTCTGGGATGAGGGTGGGAAGTGCGGGGTTTCACCTTCGACTGGTGGAAGCTCCAGCCCATCCTAGCCCATGAGGGCAAGTATGGCAGCCTTGCTGCTCTCGGGGTGGGGACAGTCACTTCACAGCAACAAAGATCAGATAAATGAGGATTTTCTTGGCAACAACACAGCTTAGGGGGAAAGAGGAGGGTGGAGGCTCCAGGCGCAGGGCAGAGCTTATTGAAGGGATCACCCATCACCCCATCTTACCTCATTCAGAGTAGCCACTGCACAGCTGGGTTTCCTGGATGAGAGGACCACCTGGCAGGGGCAGGGGACCCTCAGAGAGGAGAAGCTGGCCCCGGAGATGGAGGGTGATGGTGATGCAGGGAAGGCAAGGCCAGGGCAGAGGTACCCTGTGTATTGCCTAGAGGAGCTGCCCTGGGCTGCCTGGGTGGCCTTGCTCAGAGTGTGTGAGCATGTCGCAGGTGGCTGTGGGCTTTGATTTCCTAATGTGGATCAGCAGGTTTCATGTTTGTGTCACCAAGCCCAGTGGCCCAGCCTGGCTCACCACCCCTGACTGTTCTTGACTTTTGTGACTACAGAATCAGTGCTGTGGGGCATATGGCCCTGAAGACTGGGACCTCAACGTCTACTTTAACTGCAGTGGCGCCAGCTACAGCCGGGAGAAGTGCGGGGTGCCCTTCTCCTGCTGCGTGCCAGATCCTGCGGTGAGTCGCCAGAGCCGTGTACGATGGTATGCCCCAGCCCTGGGCTGCAGGGCTGCCCCCCTCCTCCTGGGAGCCCTGTTCTGCATGGCCCGCACTAGCACTCATGTTCTGGCTACCTCAGGCGCTGTCACCAGGGCCATCAGAAGATGTAGTGAGCCCTGCCCTTCCCGCTCCGTGCCCTTGCTACTCAGTGACTGCTGGGGCGGTGTGTGTGCACCTTGCTCTCTGGGGGACACCACCTCAGGGGTGAGGAGTTACCGTCTGCTCTTCACCTGCTTTCATTGCTGGATGCCAGAAACTGAGCTCTTTGTGGGGGCCTGCAAAGGGGCCACGAACAGAACCAGGCCCTGGTCAGGCTCTCAGTGCAGCTATGTCATGCTCTGTGCCTGGGAGTGCCCCAGATCATCCGAAGCTCAGGCTTGCTAAAGCTGCACAACTGGTATCGAAGCCCCCTCTGGGACCAAGATGTACGCAGGTTCAGCAAGTGTTGCGTCTAGCAAGTGTAGCTGTTTCCCTCCTGACACTCGGGCTGATGGTACAGGGCCCCAGTATGGTTTGCTGTGTCAGTGTGACCCATGAGCAGAGAGCACCCTCAGCTGAAAAAACCCGAACAAGGAATATGATTTGTGGTGGTGAAAGTGCCATGAGAATCAAATGCCCGTGTCCATGTGACATTCTGAAATGCAGCCCTACCTGTTCACTGTGGCATGTTGTCAGATTTGAGTGCTTGCCCTAGGACTGTGGGCAAGGGATCCGTCTCCTAGCCCTTCTCAGAAAGAGTCTGTCGAGCCCCAGCCCGGCCTGGGAGGGTGGCTGGTAGCGTGGCTGAGGGACGAGAGCTGGGATTGAGCTGTGACATTTCTAGAGGTACCTGCCAGGAAAATCAGCGTGACTAATTCTTCTGCTTTCCTTGCAGCAAAAAGTTGTGAACACGCAGTGTGGCTATGATGTCAGGATTCAGGTGAGAACCCCAGTGTGGACAGTTGGAAAGGCACTCATGTTAAGGACCCTTTAGGTTCCATTCCCTATGGTCTGACTCTCAGATTGTGCGCAAGTTCCAAGGGGGACAGATAAAGCTCCGGTGTGTTAGAATGAGGCTGCTGGAGGGTGAAGCCTGGTCCAGTTGGTGACTGGACGGAGATGGGTCTGAGGCTGGGCTCAGCCTACTCAGGCGTTGGGGATCTGGGCTTGGCTGGGAGAGTAGGCTGGACCCCATTCCCTCATATCAGTGCTTGGTCTCTTGGCCGAGGCCCCTGGGGCTGGGCTTACCTGGGAGACCGAGAATCCTGCAAGCCCTGCAGCTCCTCCCTTCACTCCCCTCTGTGGACTCTGGGTGTGTATTGAGCGAGTTGGCCCTGTAGAGGCCCCAAAAGACATGAGTCTCGGGTCCAAGCAGGCATCCTGTACTCGGACAGGTGATCAGTGAGGGCCAGAGGCTCAGACCAGAAGATGGGCCTCTGCTGCAGGGTTCTGTGTGTTGGCGCTCTGCACCAGCACCAGCCCCCAGGCCTCTGTGTAATGTCTTGTCCCTGTTGGAGTTCTCTAGGGAACCTGGGTGGGGACACGGTCTGGGTTGCAGCCCAGGCCACTCTGCTGTCTCCCTGCAGCTGAAGAGCAAGTGGGACGAGTCCATTTTCACGAAGGGCTGCATCCAGGCGCTGGAGGGCTGGCTCCCACGGAACATTTACATCGTGGCTGGCGTCTTCATCGCCATTTCCCTGTTACAGGTGTGTTCTGGGAACGCAGAAGACTGGGAGGGTGGCCATGGTCCTTCCGAGGGAGTTGGACCCTTGACATAGGCTTGGCCTGCCTGGGTGCAGTGCTGAGAAGCCAGCAGGAGAAGGGCATTCAGTAGGATGTCTACAGCTGGATGTGGTCTGACCATAATTGTTAAATGTTGCGCCTTGGCCCTGGATAGCCTGCCAGGGCTGGAAGAAGGCCTGGAACTTGGCTGTGTGGGGTTCTCCTGCCCCTAGCACCCAGATGGGCCCCTCAGGCTCCTGACTCCCCAGCCCTACGGCCCTCTGCCTGGGTGCTTTCCCCAGCAAGGATTTCCTCATTCCCTGGAGCTGGCTCTCACCTGGGGGAGGACATCAAGGCCAGTGGGTGGTGAAGCCAGGGTGAATGGGCTGGCACATGGCTGCCAGGAGAACTGGTGGGCAAGGCAGGGACCCAGTAATCCTGTAGAACCAGGAGGTTTTCCAATACTACCCGAGGCCTGTGGTCCCGAGCAGTCTTGGATTCAGCAGGTGCTGCTGTTATGTGGTGAGCACTTGTTTATTCAGGCAGCATGTGACTCTGATCTGACCTCAAGGAGGGTCACTAGGTGGGCCTGGAGCTGCAGCCATCTGCCCACATCGCCCTCCCTCACATAGTGGGTGTGTGCTGAGTGATGACAGAGGAAGACTGAGCAGTGGGACTGACAGAGGGCAAGGGGGCCAGTGTCAGAACAGGGCTGCCCTGCCCGTGGCACACCACAGGAACTGAGAGGGGAAGAGCATGTGGCCATGTGGCCAAGGGTTGTGAAACTCTTATGTGTCTGCTTATGCCAGGAAAGTGTCCACTTGTTTCATGAGTTTCCTGTTTGCCAAGATTGTGGCTTTAGAGTTAAGGCTGGCCAGCTTCAGGGTCAACCTCCATTTTCTTATGGAGTCCAGGCTTACCGAAAGTATTCAGGATGTGTTGTGGGAATCAGAGCCAGCCAGGATGCCCCAGGATCTGAGTGGGTCCCACCTGTGGGAGAAGAAGGCCTGGTTGTGGTGGAGGCTTGGCAGGTGTCTGTTGTGCCTGCTCTTGGCTGCCTCAGGGTCCTAAGGACGCGGCAGACTAGACTCCCAGATCCAGGTTTGTATCTGTTGGTCTCCTGTGCCCTGCCTTGGCCCAGCATCACAATCTCTGTGTCTGGAGCCCTGGCAGGACACTGAGGGAGCCCAGTGCAGTGGAGCCCTCGGCCCTGTTGCTCACAGCCGCTGACTCCCTGGCTCTGCTTGCAGATATTCGGCATCTTCCTGGCGAGGACCCTGATCTCAGACATTGAGGCGGTGAAGGCAGGGCATCACTTCTGAGGAGCTGAGTCACATCGTGGAGACCACCTGCGCTGCAGAGGAGGGAAAGCCAACATCCAGCCCTGTCTTCAGCAGTACCATGTGGACCCCCGGCGCTGCTGGCTGCTGCTCCAGACTGGCGTGCCTTCTTACCTGCTCACAGCCAGGACTGCCGCCTCAATGGGGATTACCCAGAGACAGAGACTGGATGTGGGGGTAGCAGCTCCGAGGGACAGGCGAAACTTCCACTGGCCGTGAAGGGGATTGGGCTCAGGCCCCTGCAAACCAAGTCCTCCCATGGGACCCCTTGCCTCTCCGCCACGGGCTTTGGGTCACTGGCACTGGCCAGGCTTGGGCAACACCAGCTCAGGGGCCTTTCTGCAACTGGGGACCCGCGTGGACTCTGGCCCCTGGGGGCGCTGTGGTGGCACACACTCATCGGGGTCATTTGCCAAGTTCTCAGCCAGGTCCCAGCACAGTGTGCTCGGACATTTGGGGACTGGTGCCCCAGGGGTGCCTCATTTGTCATCCCTGAGGGCCTCATAGCCAGGTTCCGGGGCAGAGCATGTCTCTGGCCTCAGCAACAGACTGCCTGATAGGAGCCTGGCCTGCGCTGAGAGCCGGCTCTCGTTTTCTTAGATGTGTAAATAGTTTATTTATAGGGGTAAGGATGTTCTCACACCATTTCCTTCTTCCCTCTCATCTTCCCCTCTCAACAGCCTTACACACTGTCCCTTTCAGTTCCCCCGAGTGTCCCAAGAGCCAGTCTGGGGCCTCTTTGTCCTTCCTGCCCACACACCATCCCCATCTCCCGGGCAGTGTCCAGGGCACCCCCCACCTCCTCCCCCGCCCCCCGCTTGGCCTCACTCTCTTCTGGTCTTGGTGCTACTGAAACTGTTTGCCCAGAACTTGAATCCTGACTCTGACACTGAGCAGCCAGGGAGCCTGGCCTGAGAGCAGAGCCAGCCTGAAGCTTTGAGGCTGGGGCTCCTATCCTGGCCGCGCACCAAGGGCCAGCCAACAGGCCCAGGCCAAGCCCGAGAGCCCACGCTGTGGCTGCCTGGTAGCAGGTATTTGTTTTCTCCCCTTGGGTGACAACTCCACCCACTGGGATGTTGGTGGTCACTGCCGGGACCCTTCTGAAGCTTGATAATTGGGCATGAAGTTTGTCTTATGCAGAGAATGGCACCGTAGGCGTGCATCCACTCCTAGGCTGCTCGCTGACATGCCTAAGTGGCAGGTGCTGGTTCTGTCCTCGTTGTTCAGGGATCGCGTGCTGCCCTCAGCCCTTGCCAGAGTGAACGTTCTTTGCCGGGAGTGCTGGGGGGTGTCTGCAGAGGATGCCAGTGATGTAGGTTTTTTGACTTGTTTTTTTACACATCTCTGTAGACTGGGGGGAAGAACAGTGCTTGTGGTTTTAGGAAGTGTGATGCTTCTCCTTGACTGCCAAACTCTTTTATGGAATTATATCTTTGTATTAATGCTGCCGTTTGGGTTGTTTTTGTTGTATTATTATTATTTTTTTTGTCTGGAGTAGACATGGTTTTAGGTTCTGTCTGTGTCCAGCTCTGGCCAGTTCTACTGATGCAAGTAAAATAGCCAAGGGATGAGGGATTGGAGTCTGGGTGCTGTGGCCTTGTCAATTGGTGTCCTGGACTTGCTGGCCCAGCTGTGACAGGTTCAGTAGCCAGTGTCTGCCTCCACCCGTGCCATTGACCCTGGCTGCCCCAGAGCAGCTGGTGGCCACAGACCCTTCCTGCCAATGCGCTGGCATCATGAGCTCCTGAGCAGCTCCTGCTGCCCCAGCTGTTCATGTAAGCCAGAGCAGGTGCTGGTCCCCTTTTGAGTACCTCACCAGGTCACACAGCTCAACCCATGATGAAGGCTGGTCATAACATTTTCAGAGCTGTGTTGGTGTTTTAACGACTTCACAAAACTTGATGTCCATTTTCAGCTACCTCCTTTGACGCTGAGTTGTTGGGTGACCGAGGATATGGGGGCCCACATGACAGTCTCCCCCAGCCCTGAACACCCAGATGCCCCATACTGGCCTGCCTGAGTCCCCACCCCTTGTCTGGAGGCTCACAGGTGACCTCTGTTCTTCCCTCCTGTCGTTTCCACGCGTCTCGTGTCCCCTCCTCCCAGAACTGCCTCTTCCTGTTGCTGGCCTTCCCTCTCATCCTGTGAAGCTGCCATGTTCCTATCACTTGCTTCCCATTCTCCCCCTGGCAGCCTCTGCCCACTACACACAAGCTATCAGACCCACAGCCTCTCTCAGGCTCTGTAATCACTCTGGGTCACCTTGTTCTTCATATACCTGTTTCTGGGGCCCACACTCACTAGGTCTCTGACCCTCCCCATGTGTGCTGCTCCGGCCTCAGCTGTGGGTACGGGCCTCCCCCTGCTCTCCTTGCTGCTCTCCAGGAAAGGACTATGGTGTGACCTTGGTTACTCCATGTCAACTGTTCCAATTCATGGATGCAGAACTTTTCAGGAATCCAGGATGTGCTTGGAGTCAGGAGTTAATAAACTCATTCAGTTGCCAGCCATTGTCCTACTCCAAGCCTGAGACTGTGACAAAAGTAGGGAGCTGGATGGTCTGGGGGTCATACTCTGTGAGCTTAGTCCCCTAGAAGCCTGGTGCTGCCAGCCCAGAATCCAGACTCAGAGTTGAATCAAAATGTCAGCTGGCGAGCAGAACCAGCACATAAGGCATGCCTGAGCAGGGCCATATCCTGTCTGTCACTGGGCTCTGTGGCCACTATTAGACTACTGGAGAAAGAGGGAAGGCACTGGTAGCCCTTGCCCCTGCCATAGGACCCATGGGAGAACTTAATGTTGCTTACATGGGGCAGAGGTCCTGATCCAGGGGCAGCAGGCTTGCCTAACTGTTAGGCCAGAGCTACCTGTGGGTGACAGATGTCCTGGCTTAGCATGAATAGGGAATCTCCTAAAGCAGAGTTGTTGGGGAGGCTCTGCTGCTAAGCAGTGGGATTGGCCATAGCCTTCTCTCCAGGTGGAACTTGACCTAGACTACCTGGATAGTAATAGACTAACTCTTGCAGAGATGGGAGGGCCTTGGTCTCAGCAGGAAGACCCTCTCCCCACAGCTTTGGTTGTTGAGATTGGTTCCTATTTGAAAGATCCAGCAGAGCCCTTCCACCTGCTGGTCCACTCCTCAGATGCCAGCAAGAGCAAGGTCTGGACCAGGCCAAAGTCAGGAGGCAGAGACTGCATCTGGTCCCCTGCACAAGTACCAGGGACCCAAGCACCTGGATGGACCGTGTTCTGCTGCTTTGTCAGAAGCATTAGCAGAGGGCTGGATGAGAGAGTAACTGGCACTTCAACATGGGATGTGGCCTCACAAACCATGGCTTAAAGCCCTACCTTGATATTAGGTTTTTGCTTTTAAGATTTATGTATTTGAAAGACGGAACCATTGAGAGAAAGAGGAAGAATCTTCCATCCATTGGTTCACTCCTCAAATGGCTAGAATGGCATGATCCAGCCAGAGCTGAAACCAGGAGCCGAGATCTCCATCCATTTCCCACCTAGGTGGCAGGTGTCGGCACTTGGTCCACCCTCTACTGCCTTCCAGGCTCATTAGTGGGGGGCTGGGTCAGACTTGGGGAGTTGGGATTGCACCTAGTTCTCAGGCATTCGATGTTGATGTTGTCCCTGACCGTCCCTACACCACTATGCAGGCCACAGCCTGAAGGCTTCTAAGCCAGTAGCCCCGAGACTCATGGATCACAGAGGAGCAGATGGGGAGGGCCGAGCACGGGTCTCTGCACCTGAGGCTGTCGTGGGAGGGTTCCTGCCAGGTTGCCAGGTGTGTTACCCTGTCACTGCTGGCAAAAAAGCCTTGAGTTGTACTAGGGGAGGGGAGGACACTGCTGTACAACTTCAAGGTGGGCCTTGCTATCCAGGGTCAATCCTGACATGGGATCTGTGTCCTCCCCAAGGTCACAGGTCATTAGAGTGTCCCCTGGGACTATGGGAACCCATGTCCCTTGATGGATCAGAACAGGTCCTTGAAGCCCTGGGTAACCAAGACTTCTGCAGTGCAAAAACCTAGGCAATCACTCCCTTTGGCTCTGTGTAAAGTGGGTAAGACCTGGCCTTCCTTCCTGCCCTGCAAGTGTGTTCACTCTACATGTTCTTTGGGTCTCCAAGGAGCTCAGGCAGATACTGGGCCTGCAGTATAACTTGGTGAGCAAGAAACAAAGTTAAGGATACCTTTGAGAGGTGCTGTTCTACTGACAGCAAGGATCCCATCTTGGAGCACCAGAAAGTACCTTACACAGATAGAAGATAACCATTTTATATACATTTGAAAGGCAAAGTCACAGAGAGACTGGGAAAGAGATCTTCCCGTCTGCCAGTCCACTTTCCAAGTGGATGCAGCATCTGGGACTGGGCCAGTCTGAAACTGGAAACTAGGAGCTTCATCTGGATTGCCCATGTGGGTGACAAGGGTCCAAGGACTTGGGCTATCTTCTCTGCCTTCCCAGGGAGCTGAACTTGAAAAATATAGAGACAAAAACAAGTAAAAATCTCGAGACACTGGGCAGTGCCCTTTCTGGCAAAAGCAAGGTCCTTTTCTGTGGGCTTCTGGGGTGCGCTGGCCTGGTGGGGCCTTGCTCTGACACCAGGAGGTATGTTTACAGGTAATGGGAAACCCAGTCCAACTGGCCTTAACAATGACGGAGGGCCTTGGCTCCTGAAACTGGAAAGTCCAGAGGTGGGGAGTGAATTTCAAGGTTGCTTTGGTCCAAGTAGCTGGCTCAGTGACTTCAGCTGGGTCTTGTTTCCTTTTGTCTCTGCTCTGACTTCCTGTCATCAGAGACTGAGGGAGGGATGACATGACCACAGTGGGGTTGGGGTGTGAGTGTGTGTGCCCCCCAACTCCACTGTGGCCTCGCTGCTTGCGTGTAAAGCCCCTCTGGGCAGGCAGGAAAACTCAGTATTGTGGCGTGGAGGGTGAGCACACATCTGCAGATGGGCAGTGTAGTGTGGGCAGTTTTGCTCTTACAGGGCGTTTATATAAACCCACAGCGTTCAAGGTTGGTAAGAAGGGAGACCACGTGTTGATGAGGAGGGTGCTGGGGCTGGGCATGTCCATTGCTGGTGTGACTGAGAGTACCCTGAGCCTTAAAAAAAAATTTTTTTTTAAAGATTTGCTTATTTTTATAAGACAGATTTATAGAGAGAAGGCAAGACAAAGGAAAAGATATATATCCTCTGGCTGACTCCCCAAATGGCTGCAGTGGCTGGAGCTGAGCTGATCTGAAGCCAGGAGCCAAGAGCTTCTTCCATGTTTTCCACACCGGTGCAGGGTCCCAAGGCTTTGGGCCATCCGGGACATGAACTGACGCCCACATGGAATCTGGCACTTGCAAGGGGAGAATTAACTAATTGAGCCATCATGCCAGGTCTCTAAAGTTTTCTCCAGTGCAGGAGCTGGTAACAATTTCTCTGGGTGGTGTTTTGAGGATGAAATGAAATGAGGTAGGTAAAGTATTTAGCACAGGTCCGAATTACTTAGTATGTTACCCACCCCCAGTTATTGCCAATATAACTTTAGTGATTGAAGGGACTTTTCCCTGTACCTGTCAGTTCCCACTGACTGCACTGCCTGGGTTGCACACAACACAGCCTGTATGGAGCCACGTGGGGGAGAAAGTCACCTCCCTGTCCCTGTAGGGACAAGCTTTGAGGTGTGAGCAGGAACCTCCACAGGTTTACAGAGTTCAAGATCTGTTTGCTGTCTGTAACAGAAGGGATGGGGTTTGCTGCCTGCCTGAGTGTAACTCCAGGAGCTGAGCTATAAGACATCACATTTAGATGGTTGGTGGGCTCCATCTAACCCAGTCCTGGTAACCACATGTAAACTGCCAGAATCTATCTATTGCACGCTCTCTCTCTCTCTCTCTCTTTCTCTCTCTCTTACACACAAACACCCAGGCCTGATCTTCCACTTACCCTCTGTGTCCAACCACTAAGCCACATTTGTTTCTGTGAAGGACCCGGGGTTACAGGCCATGTTTATGGATGGCCTTGCAGCCCGAGCAGTCATTTAGCTATGAGTAGCAGCCAACTTTGTGGGCTTTTTTCTAGTGTTTTTTGTTGTTGTTGTTGTTGTTGTTCAGCATGGACATATCCCAACATTTAAAAAATTGAAATGTTGGGATCAACATGGTATAGAGTGGGATAAGCCTTCACTTACACCACCAACATCCCATATGGGCACTGATTCCTGTCCTGGCTGCTCCACTTCCCATCCAGCTGCCTGCTTGTGGCCTGGGAAAGCAGCAGAGGATGGCCCAAAGCCTTGGGACTTTGCACCCACGTGGGAGATGTGGATGAGGCTCCTGGCTCCTTGCTTCGGATTAGGCAGCTCTAACCATTTATTTAACTCAGTAATTGAGGGGGCTGGTAAGAGTAACAGTTCCAATAAGTCCCAAGGTGCCATGCATCTATATGG